GAGGATTGTCTTCCTTGCCACCTTCACAGAAGCACAGTGCCCGAGCTCTCTCCCGTTCAACGGCCAGATGGGCTCTGACTGCTGATCTTTGCTTAACTGGTCCACCACCGCAGATCTTAACCCACTCCTTCATTTGGCCAGCAGCAGGACGGCAGAGCAGGGGTCAGTGCCCAGCTCAGCAGTGGCCGAGCTAGTCGTGGGCCTGCTTGAATGGCCCCCTCCCCCTTTTCTGCACAGGCAGAAGTCCAGGCTGCCACCTGTGTCCATCCCAATAGAGGTGCTTCCTAGTCTTACTCTGTAGTTGTGTACCATCAAGTCGAAATCAACCTGTAACTGACCCTCCAACAGGTTTTCAGAGGCAGTAAATCACATGGAAGGAGATGGCCCATTTGTTTCCCACGTAGCAGCAGGTGTATTTGAACTGTGTTCCACAACTTCCTACCACCAGGCCACCATTGCCAATGGGTCAGACTCCTAGCTGACCCCACAGTGTGTTTTCCTGTTCTGTAAGTGGCACAGGAGGAGACTGCCCACCGTTCTCACTCACAGCAGTCTGTGGATCTGCAGCAGAGCACCCTACCGACCAGGCCACTAGGAAATGTGTATGAATGATCCAGTCAGATTACAACTGCAGTGTTATCAGGTGAAATGTGTATGATTGGAAACACTGTATAATTGGTAAACTCTCACTCAAATAAATAAAGAGAATAGACCTTCCAGAGGTGTTTTTTTAAAAAAAAAAAAACAAAAAAACAAAAAAACAAAACTCGACAACTTTTCAAACAGCCAGTGTAGCAGAGTGAAGAGAGGCAGAATTCCTACTATTCAGGGGCGAAGTGTGTTTCCTGAATTTTTAACATCAGAATAGGAAAAGAAAAAAAATAGGTGGAGGATGGTGTTACAATCTCTTTGTTGCAGTTGTTACAGTCTCATTTGAAACTGGATGCCATAGTGGTAGAGAATGACCCCCTAAGGTAAGGGTGAATCTGAGTTACTGCCAAGAGGTAAGCTGCTGTCTTCTAAGATGTGTGTCAATTCAGTTTGCTGGGGATGTGATATATGGAGGATTTCAGTAGTGTAGACCGTATGATAATGACTTTGTGATTGAACACAGCTATTTTTAAAAAATGCGTTTTGTCTGTTCCGACTCGGGGACCCTATACAACAGAGGTGAACTGCCCCACAAAATTCCCGAGTAGGACCTCATCTTTCTCCTTCAGAGCAGCAGGTGGACTCAAACCATCAACCTTTTTGTTGGTAGCTAAGCCCTTAAGCACTATGCCACTAGGGCTGTAGAAGCACTATTGTTAGAACGGCAGGAATATAATGGGAAGTTTCAAGTGTCCCCACGACAGTATATAAAGGCATCTGTTAGTAATGACAAAAAGCTGACCCCAGAGCATTTTCCCTGAGGTGAGAGGAGGGAAAGAACCCACAAAATCTGAGTAAGCGTGGGGGCGGGTAGCTGTGGGGAAAAAGGGGTCGAGCTGGAGTTCTTGCTCCTTCAGCTGGGAAGATGCTTGACTGTGCACATAATAGGCTTCGTCCTCCACTGGGGCCCGATTAGAGCCGGCCCATCCCGTTCTGTTCCCGCGTTTTGATCTTGCAGTCAGCTGCAGGTTATAGATGAAGTAATAATCTGCCATCACGGATGGTATCTTGATTGTATCCAGCTGCCTGGAGTGCGTCAAGGGCAGGGAGGCCCGGCGCGCACAGCCCAGCTCGCTGGAGATCCTGAAGGTATCTGCCATTCCGGACACCTCCGGTGCCTTTAGAGTCACATAGCTCTGCGTTCTGTGACCCAGTGTCACCAAATTAAGTCCCGCTGGAGAGACGTCTGATATATAGGTTCACCTAACTGAGAGAGCTGGAATCTTAGCCACTGTTATTATCATCAGTATGATTGCAAATGGGGGCTGTGGAAAGAAGGGATCTCTGGGAAAGCGGCTTGGACTTCTCTGGATGGCTTCAGGAGCTGTTTGAGTCAGCCATCAGGGGAGAAGGAAGCTTTCCGCTTTAGCAGGGGTGCCCATTAAATGCGCACCCTGCCCCTGCCCCTGCCCACTGCCTTTCCACCCCTGCTGTTTGGGTCTGTGCCCCTGGAGCCCTTCAGAAATCCAACTCCTCGGTAGAGATGAGGCTGTGACTGTGGCACTGGTGTGCCTCGAACAAGCAGGCGCTTGGTAATGGAAGAGGAACCTGGCAGTGCTTCCAGCTGTGGCTGCCCAGGCCCACAGACCAGGCAGAAGTCATGGCTCACATACCACATTGCTGTTCTGGGCTCTATAAAACTGTAATAGCAGTAGAGTATTTTCATCTGCTGAAATGCAAAACCCCAGAGCTGAGAGAACCAGCAACAGCGTTACATGTCTGAGGAAATGTTTGACATGGCTTCATTTTTCTGCAGCTATGATGGTGCCTGTGGCCAATTAGCTCTGCTGGTTAGAATATGGTGTTAATGAGGCCAAGGTTGTGAGTTGGAGCCCTGTTAGGTGAGCTTGTTTCACACACCAAAAACATGTTTTCCTCACTCCCTCCCACACCCAGAATCTAGGTCATACATCTCATAAAAATCGTGTAGGTGATCACAGGAGGAGGAGGAGACAAGGCAGGGGGATGACTTGGCTAATAGCCCTTCATTTGCTTCTGGAAAAGCAACTTAAAACATGTGCGTTCATGACAGTGGGTTGTTTCTGTGAAGAGAAAGACTGTGGTTCTCTGATTCCATTCCCACTTTATGACCATTCATGTACTCACCAGGTGAGTGTTGAATGCGTCTACACGCCAGACACCCTTCTTTGTGATCAGAATATCATAAAATGGGCAAAGTTGCTGTCCTCATGAAGTTTAAATCAAAACAGAAGAAAATAGAGTTTGGTAAAGAAAACCATGAGGTATGGGACATGATGAAGATTGGCAGTTGGGGAATGAAGTTTAACTTTGGGTAAGGTCAGAGATCTGACTCACAAGAAGGAACCAGACTCTTCAAAAGATGGGATAGCATTCCAGTCAGAAGAAGCTGCCAGGGGCCACGTGGGAGAGTAGGGTGTTGAGGAGGCCGGAGGGAAGGAGACACACGAGGAATCTGCATGTTTTCCTTAGTGCAATGGGAAGCCTTTTTTAAAAAAAAAATTTTATTTTGTTATTTTTGTGTGACTGTACCATCAAATCAGATCTGACTGGTACAGGAGGAGATTGTCCCTCCTTCCCCGGCAGAGCATCTGGTGGATTCGAACCATTCGCCTCTGGGATTATAGTTGCAGCTCCTTGCCTCTAGGCCACCAGAGCTCCCCGGAAGCCCTTTTTTTTAAAAAAAAAAAAATAGACCATTTTTTAATATGGGGATTTTTTTTTTAAGGGGAAAATTTTGGATTTTGGTTATTTTGGTTGGTTGTTGTCTACTGTAGAGTCAGAACCCACATGTAGCTGACTCTCTGGCGGATTTTCAGAAGCAGTTAATCACACGGGAGGAGATTGCCCATCCTCCTCCTGCAGAGCGGCCAGAGGCCTCGAACCATGTGTCTTAGGGATTGCAGCGCAGCTTCTTACCACTAGTGGGCTGTTAATAACCTGATATTATTCTTGAAAAAGGCATCTTCCCCGGACTCCTGGCCTCGACCCCTCAGGTCTTGGGGGTCTGCTGATTGCTGGATCTTGTGATTTCTGTATGTGTAGATGAGTCTCCAGTGGAAAGGATAGAGAAAATAAATCTAATGGGGCTGCTTGGTTTGCACTGAGCCGGGATCCTTTCAGGGCTGCGGGGCAAATGGTTGGGAAGGACCAGGTGGCAGCAAGGAGACAGACCTCATGAGCGATGGCTGTGGTTTAGCCTGGGGGCGAGGCAGCAGCGGAGGGATGGGAGAGATGAGGTGGTCAGAAGTTGAGCCAGCAGGACTTGCTAATAGATTAGATTTGGGGAAAGCGAGAGGGGAAGGAATAAAGGCTCACTCCTAGCTTTTGAGTTTGAGCAGTGGGGCGGATGATTTACTGAAGTGCACAAGATGGAGAGTGACCTGTCTGGGGAGATGGGATCAAGAAATATGTTTTGACTGTGTTATGTTTGAGATGCCTGTTTATTCAGGTGGAGATATTAATAATTACTTATCTGCAGAAAGTTCAGGCCTAAAGATATAAATTTAGAGAGAGTTTGAAGAAGAGGGCCTAGGATGGAGCCCCCAAACCCTGGCAGGTAAAAGTCAGTAAAGGATGAGAAACCAGCAAAAGAGACCAGGAGGAGGCCCCAAGAGCGGTTGGGTAAACTGTCGACGTGCATTCGGGATAAAGATCTCTTCTCATAAATTAGCCCCGGGGCCTCCGTACATCAGAAGAGATTGCACAGACTGAATTCTACAGGTGAGCATTATTGATGCATGGTGAGCAGTATTGCTACCCTATGCCTCATAGGCCAGATTTTGTTTAAGCCAACAAAACTGTGTTAAAGAGCCTTTCCAGATATGGAAATGACGTTTTTGTATTTAATATGTTACAGATTGTATAATCAGACAAATCTTTTCTATTTTAAGCTTCCATTGGATCTTAAGACTGGGTGTGTGCCCTGGAAAAAATAGGAGCTTTCTTTTTAGAAAGCAGACTTGGGAAATTTTCATAATCACCAAAATTGGGTGAAAATTAGGGCCGTTGAGTTAGAGGACTCCATTTATGTGTCACATAGGAGTTTATTAAATATGGAACCTATTTCTTTACTCATGTGTGAAGAGATTGCCTGCCTCAGCCCAATTCCGTGAGCTCTCATACTGCCTTACTTGGAATTTCCAAGCCAGCACAAGAAGCTTTGCAGAAAATCAGAGCCATCATCCGCCTGACACTATAGGCAGAATAGTGGGACTTGCCCGCTCAGCGTCCTCAGAAGCCATCTTCCTTCTGAGTTGCATTTGCTGAGATTTGAACATAGAGAGCCCGTCATACCTGTCTAGGTAACTCAGCCCCTAAGCATTGCTGTCCAAGGTGGGAAATGATTATTGATGTGGTTTTTGTTCTAGGTCTGGCGGGAATTCCCAGATCGGTTGGTGGGGTACCCAGGCCGCCTGCACCTCTGGGACCATGAGATGAATAAGTGGAAGTACGAATCTGAGTGGACGAACGAAGTGTCCATGGTGCTCACAGGGGCGGCTTTTTATCACAAGGTAAGAGCGAGACCTGGGTCAGATGGGTCTGAACTGACAAACTGAGAGTCAGATACTTACTTTGGCCTGATCTAATTTTTCATGCCTGCTGATGAATTTAGGAAAAGAATGTTCTACTCAGAAGGTTTAGAAAGGCCTGTGTGATATTCCCTAGGAAGCCATTTAAAAAGTTCTTGTTTTCTAATTAACACGTTGCTGCACACTTTTAAGTTGACGACCGTGCTTAGAAACAGATTTATTTTTTCGATATATCACCGTCATTTGCAGCAACGTGTTAAAAATGTCATACAGACTTTCAGTAGAAAAGCACGGACAGTTCAGAAAAATAAAATGAAGTCACTGTTCCAGGTAGTCTTATCTCCCTTAGATAAGCATTCTTGTTGCTTAATTTTAATCTTTTCCGAGCTGTGAATATACTCATTTTTCCATGTTCATATTATGAGCAAATCTCATGAAGTTAGAAAAAATTCTTATTGTCCTTATGCAATGTCAGTATTTCTTCATATATATCTTTCTTTTAACATTCTTTCGTATATACCATTATATGACTATAGTATCATTTATGCCTAGCCGTTCCTGAGTTGTTGAATATTTAGGTTGTTTCTGATTTCTTTGTTATTTTAAATAATGCTATGATTAATGACTATTTTTTTCAACTCTATTTATAACTCTTACTGTTGTTTGTTGTTATGTGCTGTCGAGTCGCCTGCGACTCATAGCGACCCTATGTACAACAGCCCTAAACTCCGCTCTGTCCTGTGCCAATCGCACTGTCTCTGACGCTCCCATCCCAATT